GATTGCTTGTCTTATTACTGATAAGCAGCTTAGCTGCCCAGCAGCTTGGTTCTGAGAAAAGAAAGCGAATCAGAATTCTTACTTGTTAATGTTTCATTTTACAGTGTAGAGCAAAAGTAAAGAAAAAGCACTGTTTTGCATTCATTGGCTGCTTTGTGATACTGGGCCACCTCACAGGGCATTATATATGGCTCATATAGTAAAATAATTTTTAATGTTGCTTTAAAGCAGTAGAGACAGCTACAGTTCAGTTTTGTCTGTTACTATAGGTGCTCTATAAGCTAAATGGTGTATTTTATGAAAATCTTATTAAGCAAAACACTTAATGAAGAGGTATTTAGTCTACAGATACAGGAATTAAATCCATAAACCTAATTTAACTGAGGCTATTGGATTGCTTACCACACTAGGAAAAAAAGTGAAACAAAACACTTGGAGACTCAGTAGCTAATTGTTCTGCTGTTTGTGTTATAAAATTTAAATTACCATTTAAATACAACCTGGGGAGTTGGATTCACCATCTCTACTTTTTCAATAGTGGTTAATTCAGTATTGCTTATTTTAGGTTTTAATACTAGGCTGCTGCAACAACATATAGTACTTTGCTTGTGTTGTCCCTCCTAATAAAAGACTTCCTGCTGACACAGAAGGAACTGCAGAGTGCCTTGCCTAGAAATTATTCAAACAGCATATCACAAAATCACTAAATCTGGTACTGTGTTACAGATATGAGAGGAACATTAAGCTGAATCAAACACAAAGAACAATGAAATGGGGTGGCAATTACAGTTATCTATGTCTAAAATGTACAATACAAAACCTACCATAGCGTACTATGAGTTTGCAGACATACTATATTTTATAACAAGTGGAAAAAGGAAGGTAATATATAACAGATCCCCCTCGTGCACACGCGCCCACCTGGATGATGCGCCGACAGCCAAAGTGCATCAGTACATTCACCAAATATCAGTGATCAGTGGGGAGGAGAACAGAGTAATGAATCCACTTGATTGATAGGGATTATTACGAGGCCATGATTGGCAAAGGCCAGAGGGGACATTCTTCCAGGACACCAGGGTTAACACCTAAACACCCCCTTTGTGTGGGGAAATACAGTGCCTTATATAGAAGATGTATGTACTCTTTCCAAAGTAACATATTTTGTGGCTTAACAGTCTGAAATCAAGACATGTTAAATACGAATTGTTTTTACATTGATTTACATATTGTGACACAGAACATCCAAGTGAAAAACATGTGCTCAAACGTTCTAAAAAGTAATTACAAATGAAAACCTAGAAAAATGGGTTGGGTAAGTGAATACACTCCCAAGTTTATATTTGGTGGAAGCACCTTTTGCTTGAATTACAACCATAATTCTGTTTGGACAGGTCTGTACAAATGTACAGTAGCACACCTAGATTTGGCAATGTTTGCCCACTCCTCCTTACAGAACAGTTCAACCTCAGTCAAATTGTGAGGCATCCATTTATAGACTGCAACCTTCAAGTAATTCTGCACAATTTCAATTGGATTGAAGTCAGGGCTCTGACTGAGACAGTTGAGTACATTTACCTTTTTGCTTCTTAAGAACTCCACTATCTCATTGTCTCAGAACTCATTGTCATACGGAAAAGGTAAAATTCTCTCCCAGATCCAGCTTTCTTGCAGAAGGCAGGCGGTTTTCCTCAAGGGCATATCGGTACTTTGCTTCATTCATTTACTCTTCTATCCTGCCCCAGTTCCTGCCACTGAGAAACATCCCAGTAACTAAAGGTGGTGCCACTACCATTCTTCAGAGTAGAGATGGTATTCTTAGGCTGATGTGCTGTGCTGGGATTGCGACAAATCAAAATACTGTCATGATCTCAAACCCTCCTCTTAAGGGTGCTCCAGCCCTTTCTTGTTTGTTTCATCTCCCGCACATGTTCCCTGTTCCAGCCCCTTTTCAGTTCCCCCTTAAAAGCCAGACGCTGATGCTAAACCGGGCTCTGCATTGGTCCCGCATCATGTGAGCCCGGGACCTGGATGTGCCTGGCTCCGTTATGGGTTTGGCTTCTGTTCTTTATCCCATTCCCGTTCCTCCTGCTGGTCCCTATCCGGTTCTGGATTTTAATCAATGTTCTTGGATGGATCAGCTGGCCTTGGACTTTTTGCGCCGTTTTGGATTTCCCGTTTGACTCATCCCTGGATCGTTTGCCTCGGCCACACCTCCCCTGACCACCAGCACTCCATGGACACGCCCCCCCGTATTCATCCCCGTATCCTGCATGCCTTTTTTCCCAGTGTTTCCTCACTCTACCCTGGATCGTGTCGTCTGCATAGGGTCTGGAATTAACTCTTCCTGACAAATACTTTGCATTTCAGATGAAAAGTTCCATTTTAGTTTTGTCAGACCACAAAACATTTTGCCACATGTTCAGTATCACTTTAATGCTTTGTTCCTGTTTTTTTTTCAGCAATGGCTTCCTTCTTTCTCTCCTACCACACAGGCCAGATCTGTGGAATGCTTGGGATATTGATGTCATATGCACACTTTGACCAATCCTGGCCTGCTATTACTAAGGGGTGTTTATACTTATCCAACCCATTTAGTTTTTCATTTGTAATTACTTTTCAGAATGTTTGAGCAATTGTTTTTCTCTTGGAGGTTTTGTGTTACAATGTGTAAATAAATGTAAACAAAATCTGTGTAAAAAAATTCTGATTGAATGTGCTTTGATTTCAGGCTGTTAGGCCACATAATGTGTTACTTTGAAAAAGGTGTGTAGACTTTTCATAAGCACTGTACATACTGTAATTTGGACTGGATCTGGACCTGCTCTGCCTAATGATCCCAACCACCCAAATCAATGGGT